GGAGACCGCGGTGGACACGCGAAGAGACAAGCCAGGGGATGAGAGCGCTAGGCACGTCGGCCTTGCGTTCCAGGGGAAAGACAGTGGTGTAACGAGTGAAGTCGTCGACAAGCACAAGGAAGTAGCGCTCTCGACGCGGCCCAGGGACGGGGGCGGAGCCCCTGACGTCCAGGTGCAGGGTCTGCAGCGGCGCGACGGTAGGGGGAAACGAGGAGGAGTGAGGGGCACAGCGAAGCCGACCCTCGACACAAGGCGTGCAAGGTGGGGCTGGGGAGGAGGGAAACGCGGGGAGAGAACCTGGGAGACCAAGGACAAGACCGTGCTGGGACATGTGACGCAGACGCGGGAGCGCAGGGTGAAGTAGGCGGTGGTGCCAAAGGAGAGTCGGGTGAGTGAGGGACCGACAGGAGCAGGCAGCAGCAACCTGGGTGAGCGCTCCAGCCGGGGGGGTCACAGTGTCCAGAGTGAACAGGCCGGACACCGGGTCCCGGGGGAACGTGGACAGGGGGGCACCAGTGGCGGCCTCGGTACAGACAGCATACCGCTCGTGACCAGGGAACGTAGTGGTGACGCCAAGGTCCTGGAGGCAGCCGACACCAACTAGGTTCCTGGAGAATGAGGGGATATGTAGACCTGTGAGAGTGCCCGAAGGAACTGCCGGACAGGGAAGGGTGGTGGAACTGCGGGCGACTACCGGTCCGCCGGAGGGGTCAGCAAGAGAAACGGCAGCAGGAACAGGAAGCGGCGTCAGGGTGGTGGAGTCGCGGAAGAAACACCGGGAAGCGCCAGAGTCCAAGGTGAAGGAAAGCGAAGCAGAGGCGTCTGGCGACGGAACGACGGCGGAAGCACCAAGATTACACAAAGCAGGGGATCCTACGCCTGACGCAGCAGGGGAGGCTAAGCTAGGCACACCTACACTAGCCGACAGGGAGTATCCACACTACACTATCCTACACTACACCTACACTAGCGGGAAGCACACTAGAGTCATCAGCATACATCACATGCAGAGCAGAAACAATGGCATCCATGCCCATGTAAAAAATCTGAATCTTACGACTAAGCAAACTGTGCCAGTCCGGGAGGTCTGGCGACGAGCCGAAGCGCTGACGAAAGAGGTCGTCCAGGTGACGAAAACAGCGGGGAGTGGAGTGACCGATCTTACCGCAAACGAAGCCGCGGCGAGGACCGGTCTGGATCTGGTACTGACAACGCACGCCTCCAGAGCCACCACTCGGCACACCACCACGCGCCCGGCCGCCCCAGCGCCGGGCCACCCGGGCGGGAGGACACTCGTCTGCCGCGTCTGCGACGGCTGCTGCGGCTGCTGCGAAGGCTGCGACTGCGGCGGCTGCTGCGGCTGCTGCAACTGCAGGGGCGGCGGCTCAGCTGGACTGGGCAGGGTCCCCTCGTCCGCGCCAGCACCAGACGACCCGACGCCACCACCACCCCCTCCCGCACCCCCGCCGCCTCCGCCGTGCCCAACCTTGGGGCAGCGGCCCTTCCCCGAACGAAACTGCGCTGCAGCAACAGTCTCAGCCACTGCGGCAGAGCCGTCGGAGAAGGTACACTGAGCGGGGCCACAACCCTGAAAGATAGGGACCGGCACGGTACCGCTCGCCTGGGCGATGGAGCGGTGGCGGGTCTCAATCACAGTCAGGGTGTCGACAAAGTCAGTGAGGGTGAGGTCTGCGGGGTGAATGCTAAGGAAGCGATTGCGGGCGACAGCAAGGCGGTCAGGGAGGCGAGTGGCAAGCAGGTAAAGGTTAGAGGTAATGGGCGGCTGGTGGGCTCTAAGCTGTGCGTCAGTGCAGGCAGCGCGCCAGGTCTCATCTATCGAGCGCAGGTGGGCAGCGAGGTCAGAGACAGTGGGGAAAGATGCAAGGTCAGGAAAGAGCATCGGGAGGATCAGGCGACCCACCGAGGCAGCCAGAGGGGTGGAATAGCGCTTGATGACAGCATCTAAGTATGCCTGAGCAGTAGTGAGGGACCTAAAGCGAGGGCGCTCGGACGGGGGAAGGGCGTTGCTAATGGCAAGCTGGGCGACAGCATCGCGAGAAAGCCAGACAGAGCGCGCACGGGCAGTGGCAGCAGTAGACTCGCGCTCAGTGGGTGTGGAGTCAGCGGGCAGAATAGCAGGGGGGTCTGGGCAGGGGAGCGTACCGTCAAGGTGTGCGGAAAGCGGTTCACCATCCTGACACTGGCCAGTGAGTTGGCACCGGAGGTCGGCAAGCCACGCCTCGAACTCCAGAGGCTGGCCTTCAGTGTCGAAGCGAAGCTCCGCCGCCATCAGGGGCAGTGCAGGACGGGACAGTACGGTGCAGTGAAGTGCAGTGCATAGCAGAGCAGTGCTGGATGGTGCAGTGCGGGGCAGGGCAGTGCAGTGCGGTGCGGGGCGGTGCAGGGCGGTGCAGTGCGGTGCAGGGCAGTGCAGTGCGGAGCAGGGCGGTGCAGGGAGGGGGGGGGGGGGGGGGAACCGTACCAGTGAGGATGAAGGGGGGGCCGGGGCAGAGATGAGCGCAGGGGCCGGGCCGGTGCAGCGGGGCCCGGCAGACGCGGCGGGGCCGGGCAGGGCGCAATGGGGCCGGGCGGGTGCGACGGGGCCGGGCCGGTGCAACGGGGCCGGGCGGGTGCGACGGGGTCGGGCGGGCGCGACGGGGCCGGGCAGGTGCGACGGGGCCGGGCGGGTGCGACGGGGCCGGGCGGGTGCGACGGGGCCGGGCCGGTGCAACGGGGCCGGGCGGGTGCGACGGGGCCGGGCGGGCGCGACGGGGCCGGGCGAGTGCGACGGGGCCGGGCGGGCGCGACGGGGCCGGGCGGGTGCGACGGGGCCGGGCCGGTGCGACGGGGCCGGCAGGCGTGACGGTGGTCCAGGAGGGGCACTACGGGGCCCAGGAGGGGCGCAACGGGGCCGGGCAGGGCGCGACGGGGCCTGAAGGCTTGACGGGGCCCAGGAGGGGCGCTACGGGGCCCAGGAGGGGCGTTACGTGGCCCAGGAGGGGCACTACGGGGCCCAGGAGGGGCCCAGGAGGGGCGTGACGGGGCCCAGGAGGAGCGCTACGGGGCCCAGGAGGGGCATTACGGGGCCCAGGAGGGGCCCAGGAGGGGCGCGACGAGGTCCAGGAGGGGCACTACGGAGCCCAGGAGGGGCCCAGGAGGGGCGCGACGGGGCCCAGGAGGGGCGCGACGGGGCCCAGGAGGGGCGCTAAGGGGCCCAGGAGGGGCACTACGGGGCGAGGGGCGCAGCAAGGCCCGGGAGGGTTGCAACGGGGCTAGGAGGTCGCGACGGGGCTAGGGGTCGCGACGGGGCCCAGGGGGTCGCGACTGGGACTAGGGGGTCGCGACGGGACTAGGGGGTCGCAACGGGGCCCAGGAGGGGCGCAGCAGGGCTAGGGGCACGACGGGGCCCAGTGGGTCGCGATGGGGCTAGGGGGGAGGCACGGCGGGGCCTAGCTAGGGGACGAGCGGAAGCGGTAGGTGGGGGGATCCTAACCTACGCGTGATACCATATCAAACTAAGAGAAGTGAATGATTGGGTAGAGGGAGAGTACAGATAGATATACCTATGTATTGTACCCTCTAAGAGGTGACCCTATACAGTCTATGCAAACATATCAAATACACATGTTTGACAGTAAGTTCCAGAACACTGAGAAATCAGGGAAGTCAAAATTCCAACACTAGGCCCTCAGGGTAATTTTTTTTCGACATTTGACAGCTCAGGGTGCTTTTTTTTGAAACGTCAGCCCTAATTACGGTATTTGTGACATTGTGTGAATAGATTTTCCAGCATTCAGGAGTCCTCTGGGCAGATTCCAATGTGGAAGTTGCCTTAAACAGCCCACGTCCTCATTACACGCCCCATAGCTTATGGGACAGCGTACCTTGCATCTGGGTGAACACGGTATGAACTGAAATATATTTCAAGCCATCAAAATTGTTTATGCAATTTCAAGATTGTGCCAGACTAGCTCAGATGCTGGCAGTGTACTATGGAGCGGTGGATGGAGAGGTCTTTGCTGAGAGTGCTAGTAGTGGGGGATGGAAGGGTCAACCATGAGAGTGCTAGTAGCGGGGGATGGAGGGGTCAACCATGAGAGTGCTAGTAGCGGGGGATGGAGGGGTCAACCATGAGAGTGCTAGTAGCGGGGGATGGAGGGGTCAACCATGAGAGTGCTAGTAGCGGGGGATGGAGGGGTCAACCATGAGGGGGGGGGATGGAGGGTCAACCATGAGAGTGCTAGTAGCGGGGGATGGAGGGGTCAACCATGAGAGTGCTAGTAGCGGGGGATGGAGGGGTCAACCATGAGAGTGCTAGTAGCGGGGGATGGAGGGGTCAACCATGAGAGTGCTAGTAGCGGGGGATGGAGGGGGGGTCAACCAACCATGAGAGTGCTAGTAGCGGGGGATGGAGGGGTCAACCATGAGAGTGCTAGTAGCGGGGGATGGAGGGGTCAACCATGAGAGTGCTAGTAGCGGGGGATGGAGGGGTCAACCATGAGAGTGCTAGTAGCGGGGGATGGAGGGGTCAACCATGAGAGTGCTAGTAGCGGGGGATGGAGGGGTCAACCATGAGAGTGCTAGTAGCGGGGGATGGAGGGGTCAACCATGAGAGTGCTAGTAGCGGGGGATGGAGGGGTCAACCATGAGAGTGCTAGTAGCGGGGGATGGAGGGGTCAACCATGAGAGTGCTAGTAGCGGGGGATGGAGGGGTCAACCATGAGAGTGCTAGTAGCGGGGGATGGAGGGGTCAACCATGAGAGTGCTAGTAGCGGGGGATGGAGGGTCAACCATGAGAGTGCTAGTAGCGGGGGATGGAGGGGTCAACCATGAGAGTGCTAGTAGCGGGGGATGGAGGGGTCAACCATGAGAGTGCTAGTAGCGGGGGATGGAGGGGTCAACCATGAGAGTGCTAGTAGCGGGGGATGGAGGGGTCAACCATGAGAGTGCTAGTAGCGGGGATGGAGGGGTCAACCATGAGAGTGCTAGTAGCGGGGATGGAGGGGTCAACCATGAGAGTGCTAGTAGCGGGGGATGGAGGGGTCAACCATGAGAGTGCTAGTAGCGGGGGATGGAGGGGTCAACCATGAGAGTGCTAGTAGCGGGGGATGGAGGGGTCAACCATGAGAGTGCTAGTAGCGGGGGATGGAGGGGTCAACCCTGAGCGAGTATGCATCGATGCCACCAGCGATGTTGTAGAGCCGCGTGAAGCCCTGGTGGGCAGGTGGGGGAGATAATACACGAGGGTGGGGAATGAAGCTTCAGATAAAAGCCTGGGGTTGCACATAGCAGCAACAAACAGAACTCACCAAGTGACACACACAGGCATTTCGGTCAATCAAGGATGGAGGTGAAGCAGAGTGTGAGAGGAGTGATGAGAGAGCGACGAGGGAATGATGGGAGGAAGGCAGAGCACCTGAGACTTGAGCCACTCCGCCATCTGCTGCGATCGAATGCCGTGATGACACTGCAGACAGAATGGGGAGGGGGGGACACAAGACATGAGATGGAGGCACATGGCATGCGATGCGGGCAAAGGACATGATAAGGGGGCACATGAAATGAGATAAGGGCACATGAAATGAGATAAGGGCACATGAAATGAGATATGGGCACATGATATGTGAGGCGGAACACGTGGGGTGAGTGCACTGGGATGGTGGGGTGAGTGCATTGGGATGGTGGGGCGAGTGCATTGGGATGGTGGGGCGAGTGCATTGGGATGGTGGGGTGAGTGCACTGGGATGGTGGGGTGAGTGCATTGGGATGGTGGGGCGAGTGCATTGGGATGGTGGGGCGAGTGCATTGGGATGGTGGGGTGAGTGCACTGGGATGGTGGGGTGAGTGCATTGGGATGGTGGGGTGAGTGCATTGGGATGGGAGGGTGAGTGCATTGGGATGGTGGGGCGAGTGCATTGGGATGGTGGGGCGAGTGCATTGGGATGGTGGGGTGAGTGCACTGGGATGGTGGGGTGAGTGCATTGGGATGGTGGGGCGAGTGCATTGGGATGGTGGGGCGAGTGCATTGGGATGGTGGGGTGAGTGCACTGGGATGGTGGGGTGAGTGCATTGGGATGGTGGGGTGAGTGCATTGGGATGGGAGGGTGAGTGCATTGGGATGGTGGGTTGAGTGCATTGGGATGGTGGGATGAGTGCATTGGGATGGTGGGGTGTCGGTGTGTGTATTACGAGCAGGTAGGTGTCGGTGTGTGCATTACCAGCAGGTAGGTGTCGGTGTGTGGGTCCAGCGTGTCAGCGACGGTGGGCCCCCACTGCCCGAACTGGCTCAGAGGCAGCACTGTGAACCCGGGGATGGCTGCAAGCTCGCTGCCATGTGGTGGTTGAACGGGTGAGAGGTGGGTGAGAGGTGGGTTATACATGAGGAGGCAAGAGAGGAGGGACGGGGGAGAGAGGGGAGAGGGGGACGAATGAGTAGGACAAATGGGGAGATAGGAAGGTGCTTGAGAGGAAAGAGGGGGTGGGCGCGGCAATGGGGAGAGAAGGTGAGAAGCGATGAGGGGCGAAAAAGCAAGGGGATAGGCGACAAGGACTGACCTTCATAAGAATGGACAGCACATGGCATGCAACAGGAGCACATGCACGGAAACCCACCAGCAAGCATGAACCGCGCACTCACACTTCCCTGGGCTCCCGTACGTCCACCAGCTGCACGGCCCGCCTGCCTCCACTCTCCGCCTCTGCCTCTGCCAACTCTGCCTCCAGCGACCGCCCCTCGCCCTCTGCACTGCCCTCATGCGGCGCCGCCAGCACGTACTGCTCCTGCAGGCGCCGCGCAAACTCCTCCACCGTCACCTGGTCCAACACCGCCGCGTGCCTGGGGGGCGAGGGAGCGATGCACAGATGAGGAGGGGGGGCGGGGGAAGGAGGGTGGGGTGGAGTGCAACTGCAGCAGGAAGTGGCAAGAGAAGGAAAAGAGAGAGACAGAGAATGTGACTCCGCCCTCCTCCAGTACACCCCTGCGAAAGGAGAGAAGCGGGGGCGAGGGGAGAGGGGAGGGGGAGGGGAGGGAGAGGGGAGGGGGAGGGGGCCAGCGAGTGCGAGCTGGTGATTCACCATTTGAAAGTGCACTGCTCATCTGTCTCCACCGCTGCATGCCTGGGGGGGAGGGTGGGGGGAAAGCGAGCAGAAATGAGTGAGATAAGAGGTGGCACACTGCACTGGAGATTGCAAGTGCAGTAGGAAGTTGCAAGTGGAAAAGACGAGGAGGTTGTGTCTCCGCCCTCCCTGCCAAAGGAGAGGGGAGGGGGATGCGAGGAGGGAGGCAGCAGGTGCATCCGTGCCAATCACCAATGCAGCACTACAGAAACCCCAAGCAGCCTCTCTGCCATTTCAACATGCACTGCACTGCACCACGCTCACCTGTCCCCACCGAACTGCACCACGCTCACCTGTCCCCCAGCACCTGCAGCAGGTGCCAGCCGTGCTTGGTCTTGCACCGCACCACATCCCCCGGCTTCGCCTTGAAGGCCGCCTCCTCAAACTCCGGCTCCTGATGCCACGCCGTGCCATGCCACGCCACATAAGGCCAGGTCAGGCCACGTCAAGCCACGCCACGCCATGCCGTGCCATGACATGCCGTGGCCAACGGAACACCAGACCAGAGTGGTGAATTGGCAGGGTAGGTATGGCGATCCTATGCCGGTGGTGGCACATAGTGGCGAGGAGAACCAGTGTCGCATCACATGCATATCAGACTATCGAGGCAAGGAAGAGAGGTGCGACGGCAATGGCAGTGGGAGGGAGGGGAGTCAATGGTGCGACGGCACTGGCAGTGGGAGGGAGGGGAGTCAATGGTGCGACGGCAATGGCAGTGGGAGGGAGGGGAGTCAACGGTGCGACGGCAATGGCAGTGGATGGGAGGGAAGTCAATGGTGCGACGGCAATGGCAGTGGGAGGGAGGGGAGTCAATGGTGCGACGGCAATGGCAGTGGGAGGGAGGGGAGTCAATGGAGCGACGGCAATGGCAGTGGGAGGGAGGGGAGTCAATGGTGCGACGGCAATGGCAGTGGATGGGAGGGGAGTCAATGGTGCGACGGCAATGGCAGTGGGAGGGAGGGGAGTCAATGGAGCGACGGCAATGGCAGTGGGAGGGAGGGGAGTCAATGGTGCGACGGCAATGGCAGTGGATGGGAGGGGAGTCAATGGTGCGACGGCAATGGCAGTGGGAGGGAGGGGAGTCAATGGTGCGACGGCAATGGCAGTGGGAGGGAGGGGAGTCAATGGTGCAACGGCAATGGCAGTGGGAGGGAGGGGAGTCAATGGTGTGATGACAATGGCAGTGGATGGGAGGGAAGTCAAGGGTGCGACGGCAATGGCAGTGAGAGCGCGGCTGGTGAGTGCACAAGTGGGGTGCGCTGCGTGGCTCACTCACAGTGGTGCCCCGTGTGATCCACCCCACCATGCCGCCCTTCTCCCTCGACGCGCACAGCGAGTGCTCCGCCGCCACGTCGCTCAGATCCACGCCCTCTGCGCGCCAGAGGTTTTGGGGTTGGGGTGGTTGGCATGGCAGGGGTGGAAGGGCTCATGGGAGGGGCGCATGCTCGTAACTTTGGAGTTGACAGGAGATTGCGTGGAGCAGAGAGAGGGTTAGGGACGAGACGGTGGGCGCGGAGGAGAGAGGAGACGAGAGAGGGGAGATGAGAGGGGAGACAGGAGAGCAGAAATGGGAGCGGGAAGAGGGAAGAGGAGGGAGAGGAGATAGGGAGAGGGGAGAGGTGGGAGGATAGAGGGGAGAGGAGGGCGGAGAGAGGAGAGAGGAAAGAGGAGAGAAGACAGAGGAGAGGAGAGAGAGCAGAGAGGAGAGAGGAAAGAGGAGAGATGAGAGAGGAGAGGAGAGAGAGCAGAGAGGAGAGAGAGCAGAGAGGAGAGAGGAAAGAGGAGAGATGAGAGAGGCGAGGGGAGAGCGGGGAGAGGGAGGGCGCAGAGTAAGAAGCATGCGGGCGAGCAAAGAGCTGTTGGCATCAAGGACGCGCGTGCGACGACTCGTCAGACCCATGGCGAGCTGCACGAACCCCCGTGGATGCCCCACCTCGTGCAAGCGCGCATGACCTCGCCACCTGCTCGGCCAACTTGGCCGCCCACCCCCACCCCTCATCCCGCTCCCCACCTCACCCCCCTCCTCCCCACCCCCCCTCACCGCTGATGATGCGGCGCTGCAGCTCCAGCAGCAGCTGCAGCTGGTCCGCGCCCACCACCACGTGCTGCACCAGCACCTCGCGATCCCACTCCTCCTCCGCCCACCGCGCCCCCGCCCCTCCGCCGCCCGCCGCTGCGCTCGCCGCCATGAGCCGTCGCCCCGCAGAGGCGGAGAGCGGCGGGACGGCGGCGACAGCTGCGATGGGGATGCGAGGCGCGCGGAATGAAAGACGCGGGGAGGCGGAGGGGCACGCGGGAGGGAGGCGGAGAGCGGAGGGAGGTACGCGAGGGGAATGGAGGGGGCGCGGCAGGGAGAGGCGCGACGAGCAGCGGCGGGGACAATGATGCGCGGCGAGACGAGCAGCGGGAGGACGGGAAGCTTGCGCGCGATCGACGCCATTGGCGCGAGGGCGAAGGGGGAGAGGCAGAGGAGCGGAATGAAGGCGAGGTGGCCTAGTACGCTGTGTGTGAGGTGGTGCCTCTGGCAGTGTGCGTGATTCCGCTTCAAGGTGGTGTATTGTGAACCAATTCAGAGGTTCCATCGTCCCTTGAGGTCTGTACCGGGTGCGCACTGCGGGCCGATTACACGAGTGACTTAGGCCAATCGAGGCAAGGTGTCGGAAAGTGAAACCGAACCGTGACGAACCACACTAAACCTTATTTGACTAGCGGCGTGAAAAGTGAGTCACGGTTCATGCGAACGCGTCACGATGAATGTTACCCGCGTGAGTTTCGAAACTCGGTCGAAACCGCGAAACCCACGCTTCACGCCCTCAGCGTCACAGGGAAATGTCACAGGCGAGAGGGGGTCGGTTTCAGGCAGCGATTCAAAGTCAAATTAGGTCACGCAATCGGCCGGGGCGTGACGAGCTGCTGTCGCACGCCAGCATCCATGTTGCTGATTTAGTTGCATACTTCTTAACGGGTGACGTCGATTGTCGCTCCCGAGCAGTGGCGCGTCGGTGGGCCGGGTTTATCACGCCAGCAGCGGGCCGTAGTTGATGCAAAAAGTGGCAGCTGCCTCGCGTGCCGCCACTCGCCCCGCCCTAGTAGAGAGCACAGCGATCTTGTCGCCACGATTATCGCCGAGCGCTGTGCGATAGAGAGCACAGCGAGCGACGCCGCGTCAGGGCAGGCGATCCCCGGACGACAGGCGCGAGTGGAGGAGGGCGACAGCAGCAAGGGAGCGACGAGGCCATCTGTGCGAGGGAGAAGGATTGCCGGCCCGCCTTCGTCCTCGTGAGTCACACCTCGCCCACTTCCCCCCGCCCGTTGCGCCCGTTGCGCCCGTTGCCTATCTTCACTTTCGTCGCTTTCACTTGCCAATTGATCCATCCCGGTGCGCGCCCCTTGGCGCCATGCTCGCCATCACGGTTGTCCGCCACTGTGCGCGCCTCCCTTGCGCCGTGCGCCATTGCAGCGAGGTGACTTTTTAGTCGACTCATAAGTTGACCGGCGCTGTCTCCTCCGAGTGTGTGCTTGCCTTGCTCAACCTCCCGCCATTCCATTCACCGGATCAATGCCCTCTATCTGCATTCCCGCGCTATCCTCCGTGCCGTTCCCTCTGTGCCGTTCCCTCTGTGCCGTTCCCTCTGTGCTCGTCTGCAGCCACCAGAGTGAGCGGCAGGGCGGCATGGACACAGGCGCAGGCGGCACCATCAGCGGGCCCCTCGCCGCCTCGGGTGCGTGGGTCATCCCTCCCAGCCGCTCCATGCTTGCTCCCTGCACCACACGCCTTCTCGTCCACTCGTGCTGCCTTCAAGTCCCTGTGCCGGTGCCACCTTTCCTTCCCTTCCTTCCTTCCGTGCCTTCCCTTCCTTCCGTGCCTTCCCTTCCTTCCGTGCCTTCCCTTCCTTCCGTGCCTTGCCTGCCTTTTAACCCTTGCATCATGATAATCGCTACTCCTTTCCTTCCTACTTCTTCCTTTCAAGCTGCCACCCTCACTCCCCTCTCTTCCTTCTCCCCTTTCCTCCCGCTTCACACATAATTCCCCCCCCCCAAAGGCGGCCCTGACGCCAGCAGCACGTACGGCGGGCTGGACCCCTCGGACGTGGAGCTGTCCCCAGCAGTCACCACCGTCGCCTTCTCGCCCGCACCGCTGCCACCGCTGCGACTGCCCGTGAAGGCAGGCCCGGGGGACAGCCCCGAGCGGGGCAAGTGGGTGCTGGCGTTCCAAGACGAGGCCAGCTGGCGGGGCGCATGGGGGGCGTGCGAGCGGAAGATTGGCGAGCAGTGCGAGGTGAGAGGAGCGCATCACTTGGGAGCTTGCGCCATATGTAGCAGCGGGTTTGTTGTAAACACTGTTGTTTAGAAGGAGATAGGCGAGCAGTGCGTGCGAGGTGAGAGGGAGAGATGCGAGCAGTGCGAGGTCGGCATGGTAGAGAGCCATGAGGACCCATTTGTTCTTGTGTGGCTGCAATCGTCTAGTAAGACGTTATTCAACCTGACCCTGTTTGTTAAAACCTCTGCCAGGTGACGCGAGGTCCGAGAATGATGCATTGGCCGGTTCAGGGCCGCCACGCGAACGCATGCGGTGGGAAGAACCCCGCTATATACCAAAATAGTTGGTCACTGCCTCCTTTTTCTCAAGAACGTGCCTTCAAGTTCCTTCCGCTACCCCACCCCACACCCCCCACCCCCCCTGTACCTCCCAGGTGGGGGCGCGCATGGGGTGCTCGGTGCGCGCCACCACGCGGTGCCAGGAGGCGCTGCCGTGGGGGCTGAGGGGGCGGGCGGGGGATTCCTGGGGTGATGGAGCTGCTGGGCGTGGGGGGCGGGGGGGGAGGGGCGGGGAGGAGGAGGAGAAGGAGAGGGAGGCGTGCGAGGAGCGCGAGATGATGGCGTGCCTGGCGACAGCACAGGTGACTGGAATGGCATGGCATGGCATGGCATGGCACGGCATGGCATCGCATGGAAGGGCATGGCATGGCACGGCATGGCATGGTATGGCACGGCATGGCATGGCATGGCATGGCATGGCATAACGCACCTTCATGACTGGCTCGGCTGGTCCGTGTCCGCTTCATCTCTAACCGTCCGAGTTTCTTCTATATCGGCTGCATGTCTTGCCATCTCTCATCATCCCCTCCCCTGCAACCCTCTGCACCGCGCCTTTTCTCTCTAGGCCCTCCTACCTGATCCCCATAACCTCCCTTCTTGCCTTCACCCTCTTCTTTTCACCTCCATCTCCACACTTACTGTCTCCCTTCAGCTCATGCCCCCATACCCCCATGCCCCGTTGACCCCTTGCCCGGCGTCCCTCCTGGCCCCATGCATGCGTGCAGGACGCCTGCAGGGAGCACGCGCAGCAGCAGTGCGCCACTGCCTTCTCCCAGGCGCTCATTGCGCGCTCCCTCACCTCCATTCCGCTGCCCCTCCTCGACCGCCGTGCCCAGCGGGCTCTCCTGCGTGCCGCACTGCACCGCCGCCAGACTGCCGCTGCGGCGGAGGGCTCGGGACGAGGGGGCAGCAGAGGGGAGGGCCAGGCGGGGAGGCGGAGCAGCGGGCGCAGGGGGTGCGGATGTGGAGAGGAGCCCGGGGGCAAAGCTGGCTCAGCAGGCAGCGGCGGCGGGGCTGGTGGCAGGGGCAGAGGGGGTGGGGGGGTTGGGGGCGGTGGGGGGAGGAAGAGGGGAGGGGCAGTCGAACGTGGTGAGCGCGAGGGGGCTGCCTCGGGAGGGCGGGGCGGCAGGCGTGGCGTGGAGAAGTGGGTTGTCGTATCTGGAGACCCCGAGAGCGGGCAAGGAGGAGGTGGGGGGATGGGGGGCAGTGGGGAGGGGTGGGAGGGCGGACTGGTGAAACCAAAAGCTGGGAGGAGAAGGGAGGTGGGGAATGGGGAGGTGGGGAATGGGGAGGTGAAAGGGGAGGGGATGGGAGAGCGGTTAGGGAGAAGGATGGTGAGAGTGGTGGTGGCAGGGGCAGCAGTGCCAGGCACACAGCAGCTGGTGGCGCTGAGTCTGGCAGCTGCAGTGGGGACACGTGGGACCCTAAACCCTGGACTGCTCAGGGGCAAGCACTGCCTGCAGTGGGAAGCAGGGAAGTGAGCGGCATGCTGCGTGCCTTGCAACACGCGGCAGACGCTCTCAAGAGCAAAGTTACGCAAGGTGCAGGCACGGACATCTCAAGGCGGTGAGCTGGCCGTATGATACGAGAGGAGAGGACAATTCTGTAGTTTTTGAAGGGTAGTTACATTTGACCCATCAGTTTGTTGAAATGGAAGAATGTGTTAACGTAGAAACGAATGATTACTAGAGGTGGAAACCTAGAACAAAT